TGCTAAGGTTGGAAGTGGGGTGGAATGTTGAGATTGGGAATAGTTGGCGATAGCAAGAGAAGGGGGTTTGGATCGAGTTGATGAGATGGTTCGGCTTGATGAGAGGCTAAAGGGGAGTTGGGACCAGCAAGTGGGGGTAGATGGATGAAAGGGATGGATCGGAGGAGAATAAGGTTACTGGGTTGATGGATTGGTGAGAGAGATGGAGAAAAAATAAAGACAGTAGAGTGGGTGAGTGAAGGCTTTAATAAAGGGAGGGTTCCTCAATTTTGACTAGTCAAGTTGAGGGGGGCTAACATGCAGAATCGAATTCTCAGGTAAGCAGTTTTCCTCCTTTCTCCCCCTCATCATTAATAGGCACAATTCATTTAGTAAGGCAAATTTGGGATTTCCAATTTGATTTCTTTGGATTTATCATTTTCTCCTAAGGATAAACTCTTACTTTTCCTTGGTTACAGGAGCTTAAAACTAAAGGACTGCTAGGTTTTCCTACCTACCAAGTGCCATGGAATCTATGGAAACCCCCTCTTTTGCCTATAGTTTCCAGATATTCTGACACCAAATTAGGTGTTATCACATCATCCAGCTACTACTAAAAAATCTTGTCAATATTTTTTACAGGATTATGCTCCAAATGGCCATTTGGATGATAAAGAAGGGATAAGGATGATAAATTACATCATTAAAGGACTCATTCAAGGAGTCATGTCATCCAAATCTCTTTACAGTGTGGTAAAACCTTAAAAAAATTGTTGCAAAGGCTAAACCATCATAAAGGGCAAGCACCATAAGCACAGATTGTATTTGTGCTAAGATATGATAATGCAGAGTAATATTTTTTAGACCGGAAACTATTAGCTCTTTTTATTTTTATTTTGAACTGTAACTTCTGAGAGGCTCATACATACCAGTAAAGAATGCATGTTAACTATATGCTTATTCAACTATTAGGGAACTTCGTGGAGTCTCTGAAAATATCAACGCTCATTTGAGGGCAGAGTATTGTGTGTATATACACTAGCATATAGTAGATGAGCGCATTTTAACACTGTTATAATGGTTTGAGCATGCACTACATGCGTGACAGGCCAGCAAAGGGCAGTTAGCAGACAGGAACTCAATCAAAATGTTTGGTAAATAACATTAGATCAATCATGTAATATCACACATTTAAAAAAGTAATAAACATGAAAAGAAACAAGTATCTTTTAGAGCAAAGATCCTTGAATGCAAGATATAAATTGCAGTCAAACGTGGGATCCTCTTGGAATCTAAAAAGTAAAGCCAGCAAGACAGAACAACATCATGAATACAGAACTTAATTTAACAAATTAAGAAAGCAAAGAAAACTTCAAACATAAAAGGTGACTGGCACAAATAACTTACATTCTTCGTGCGTAGTGTGTTAATGACTGATGACTTTCCAACATTGGGATATCCGACGAACCCTACAGATATAGCTTGCTTGTCATTTTTTAAGCGAGAAAACTGCCTTAACACCGAAAGAAGTGATCCCTGGTACAAGCGCACCGAATTTTAAGCAACAATGGAAACTTCTGAACAAATGCGAGCCGGATAATCAATTTTATTATATGAAATTTTTACCATACCTTGCCAAAAGATTTATTGACACTTGCATGGAAAGCTAAAGTAGGATATTCCTTGGACAGCAGACGCAACCATCCTTTTGTAGCCCATGCAGGAATCAAATCACACTTAAGAAGCAAAGTGCAGGATCAGATATACTTCATACAAGGAAACTATATAAAGAAAAGGTGGGAAAAAAAATATTAACACAAAGCATTCCGTTTTACAAAATTGTAACCATTGCAGACCTTGTTCAACAGAAGAACCATGTGCTTGTGCTTGCAGTGCTCCTTCAGATGCTTTTCTAAATGGCGGCATCTTGTCCCTTGTGGATCCCTAGCATCTATCACCTGTTATAGAGTAAAACGATCAGATAACTACAAGATACAAACATATTTATACATGTATATCAGTACATATATGCATGCACATGTAAATACAAATAGACTTTTATCGTGGTATATGTATATGACAATGTATATGCATATTTTTGTGTGCATTGGTGTCAGTTTATCTCTGGACATAAGGACATGTATGCATATGCACAAACATAATGATTTTAGCTGCTTTTTATATGCATCTCTGCACATAAGGATATGTATACACCTAAGGCTGCTTCCACTTAATTGGCACTTAAAGCGGCAATTTTAGCTGCTACTTACAACAGTTGCAACAATTTACAGGTGTAATTTTTTAAGGAAAAAGAGGATTGATATTCATGGAACTTATTGTACGTTTTTTCTTACAGCTTAATAATACTTACAAGTTAATAGTTATTATTGTTATCTTTTACATAACATATATTATATTTAATAAATTTTTTATTTAGAGGACATATATTACGAAGTATTTACTACCATCAAATCCACCCTTTTTGATCTACTTTTCATAATTTTCAACTATAATAAATATTTTGATAATATATTCTTATAGTTTTCACTTATGGATTTAAAGGATAAACATACTAATACATTGAACTTTAAATGAAAGAAAAGTGAAGTAGGAAAGAGGTGTGAGAGGGGGGGTTTAAATGACATTTATTAAATTATATTGAGATAAAATTACCAATGTGCTCTCTGTATTTCTTCATGTTTCCCGGTGTCCTTCAAGTTTTGTCTTACACCTAGTATTGCCATTATATAGTATATAGATGTCTCAATGAAACAAATTATGACCATGTCATGACAAACTTAAAACTATTTTCTGAAAACTAATAGAATGATCATCACTTATGGTGATTTTAATCCATGATCTCTGACTAACAAAAAGGTTAATGGTTAGCTTCCGATGATCAAAAATAAAAATGAAGAAATAGCTCCATCAAGTTGCTGAGTTTCTTATTGTATTTAAAAAAATTAAGATATCAAACTGAACTTATCTGAAAAAATTAAACCACAAGTATAAAGCCTAAGGTTAAATTCAATTATTTTAATCCACAAAATAGAAAAGGTACATCAACTGACCTCTAGGGACTCTCATTAAAATTAAAATCCATGTGACATACTACAAATGGGTAATGAATAGTCTGTATAAAAATGAATATAAAAGCAACTCTCATTGAATTGATCACAATACTGTCTATCATGAACACAGCTCAGATTAAGAGCTTAGCTCACTTGATGCAGTTAGATAAGTTTGAAATTAAATGACAATGCACTTGCCCAAGTAGCACTGTACATCCATCCTCCTGAAAGGAAGCTATTAAAAAGTTAAATTAAGTGTGACTTTTAACCACCACAGTGTAAATGTTCATAAGCGACAGAGATCACTACTCACCTGGACAACTACATCTGAAGAGTCCACAACTTTGTAGAGCTCCCCCCAAATACGCTTACTCTGCCCCTTGTCAAACATTGAATGCCTAACCAAATCTCTAAAGCCATCTTCTTCATTTCCATCCTCAGAAGAGTTAGAAAGTTTTTTCTCAAAGGAATCTACAGTAAGAAATTAATAAATTACATAGAATGAAGTTATTCTTTTCAATGAACTGCAGAAAATTTTCTCCATAACCCTCTTTTCTTTCTAGAAATAAGAATGCACCAAAACAACTTAAGAAAATCTTAAATTTCATTACATACCTTGAGAACCATCAGCTTTCTTAACTAATGATTCATAATCAAAAGCTAGAAGTTTTGGGCGCTTCCTTTTAGACCTCGGTCCAAATGCATCTTGGAAAGGCTCATTATCTAAAAGATGTACTTTCGCTTGCTGTCAGATAAACAAAAAAGAAAACACTTTTTTTAAAGCTATACATCCACCTATAGTCTAGAACACTTTATAATCTACGCATCCACATGAAGCCTAAATCACTTCTTTTAAGTTACACATCCATCGAAAGCCACACGAGCAATAAAGTATTGTTAAATTTTGCTAAAGGAAACAACCATTTTAAAGCATAACAAAATTAAGGGAATACTGTGTCTGCTCTAGATAAACAACAAAACCTATTTGGAAAACATTCCAACAAAAGTTAAGCATCCTAACAGGCATTCGATTGTCAAATACACAAAAGAGAAAGAAAAAAAACTCATTAATAACTGGAACTCAAAAACTGACAACTCTCAGACATGGTTATACAACAACTTAATGCAGAAAGCACAATTTTAATTGGACAAATGCTGGAATCCCTAGCTCAAACATGAGCATTATATATTTCATGAACCCCAAAACAATTCAAACCAAAACCTTGTATTCTCAAAGATGCAAAAGTTTCCTCTCCAGAAGAAACTCAATAAAAATTAATAGGGTCCACATCTTTCCTCTATACAGGACAATCTTCAAACTGAAAAGTAAAGCAACCTTACATGTATATCAAGTAAGATGATATGGACACGTCCACATTGAATAGCAAGAAAACCTGTACAATATCGAGAGAGAGAGAGAGAGAGAGAGAGAGAGAGAGAGAGAGAGAACCGTTTGCACTTCAAAGTACAAAACTAACTACATCCATCTTGAATTATCTTATTACAACCGACTTAGTTGAGGCCCTATTCTACAGTCACAAGACACAACAGAAGATGCAAGTTCTCCAAGTGCACTTAGCTTCCAAATTACTAACATAATAAACGGCAAAATTGCAATGTAAGAAGCTCTGAAAGATACCTCGATCAAAGAACCCCTTTTTAGGCATTGTGTTTACTCTCACTAGGACAAAAGTACCTCTAGTGGATAACATCAACCAGCTTCCCAAGTTCTGAGGTTTAACATGGAATATTGACACATTCCCTCAACAAACTAAGGGATAAGTAACTTTCAAATGATCGCTAGAATTTCTCAAAATCACCCCATTACATGCATGATGAACAGGGACTCTAGAAGGTCTAGGGTTGTTTTCGCTCATCTCTATGTGATTTTCCCTCATCTTTATGAGACAGTCCTCGTGAACTAACAGAAAATAGAGACAGGGGAATCGTAAATAGATGTATCTCCCCTAAAGAGCACCAGCAATAGCATAAATGTAGCAGAAGAAAAGTGTGTGTTTGAGAAAACAAAACAGGCAAACGAATTAATGAAACCAAAATTAAGACAAGAAGAAAAAATAGAGTACTATTAAGAAAAGAAGAAAAAATAGAGTACTATGTAAAAGACGAGTAAGATAAAACAAAGTATGACATGTGAAACAAATAACTAAATAATCAAACATGTTAGCAGTATTAGTATAAATGACAGGTAAGACAAGGATAACTGGAAGAAAGTGCGCATAAAGAAGAATTTGCTGATGCCAAATTAAGATTATGTAAACAGCTCAAAGTAAAAAAAATAATAAAACACAACTAAAACTCCTACCTTCTGATGGTCATTTAGAAGAGAAAGTGGCAGTTTCCTCTCCTTCAATATGACATTGTAGTTGCTAGAAAGTTTGTTCTGCAATTCCTCTCGGAAGAACTCAAGTTCTTTCTGATTTACAACCCGAGTATTACCTACAATGCCAAATGAGGGATTGATCAGAGACGGTATTAAGTAGAACAACATAAAATCTAAACAAAAAAGAAATAATAACCATAAACAGAGCATGATAGAATACTAAAATGAATAATCAAATATACACCATGGGTTCATTTTCAGAAAAAATTGGAGGTTCCAACATTAACTTACTAAGCTGCAGAAACTATTAAGCTGCCACATTTACTTGATTTAATTGATCTTATGGGGGAGAACCCTGTAAAAATTACATAAGTGGAGTTCTATCTACTCATGCTTATAGCTTCAAATACTACCAAATAGAAAAAAGACAGGGTAAGTTCAAGAACCCCCTTCACCTACCATCATACGTACTACATATAAAAAAGCCCTAGCAGGCGAAAGGTTGGGCCGAAAGGTTCTGTGTAAAAAAATTTGGACTAAGTTTCCCTTGCCTTTTGCATCTAATTGCAGTCATATACATGTAAAACTTTGGATGTTCCTCGACTTCTTGCGGACAACTCAGATGCTGTCATGCTGAGCCCAACCTCACCACATGACTGCCTCTTGCCCCCAGCAGATGGTCTTTCTCATGGGCCTTGGAATTAATATGCAATTCAACAACCAAAACAGAAATGTAAGAAGGAATATTTAGATATTAGTCCCTAAAATTTTCAATAAACATGTTCTCTCAAATCTTCGAAAACGCTCATATGTCCTTCAACTCCTAAGGAGTTCTGCAATCTGGTCCTTCAGTAACCAAAATAGCTCTCAAGTGATGTTTCCTTGATTAAACTAGGGATAGACTTATGGATAGGCTACGCTAAGAGATAACTTCATCAATATCTTCATAGGTTTACAACAACTATGAAGTACTTATGGATATACTAAGAGATATATTCATGAATACCTTTGTAGGCCAGATTTTGTACATACTGAGTATCAAATGAGATAAAGTCGATAGAGATAATTTGGTCATGTGCAAAGGAGGTCACAAACTGTGCAATCAGGAGAGATGAATAAGACAATAATTATGTTGATAAGAAGCACTACATATTAAAGTAATTATAAATTATAATTAGGTATATGTATACCTTAATGTTACAGATTGACCAAGCTTGTTAAGGTGTAATTCTCTAGCTAACTTTAAACGAGATTTAAGTCTAAATCTAAACAAGTTGTTAAAGGTGGGCTACGTGGAAACTGTTGTCTTGAAACTCCTTGAACAAGCTAGGAGCTACACCAAACTCTGTATACATTTTTCCACATATCTTATTATCTATATACATTTTCTTGTCATATTACACTTACTAAAATTTCACAACTACCACACAGAGAAAGCACGTGCATCGCACATGCCTCCTCACTAGTACTAAAACAAAAGCCAATGTGCACTTGGCATCTTAATAGAACTTTAGCTTTTTATCTTAACTAATTAGCAATTTCTATGGTAACATTTAAACATTTATGCAAGGTTGCTGATAGCGGATCGCGGCGCGTCGCGGCGAGGTACCGCTAAGGCTATATCGGGCTATTGCGGCGAAATCGCGTCAAATAGCGGCGAAATCGCGTCAAATAGCGCACAGTCAAATAGCGGTCAAATTTAAATATATTTAAATATCCTAAATAATAATAAAAATTCATAAAAAATCTAAAAATTCAATTAGTTGTAAATTTCTTGTATTATCAATAAATAACAATTAATAAGCTTGTTGTATGAATGAAACTATGAAGAAATTCAAGAAATATAGCATCATAATATGTGTGATAGCGGGTTTAGCCGCTTTTAACAACAAAAATCCGCTTTTAACAGCGAAAACCCGTTTTTAACCGCGAAAATCCGCTTTTAACCGGCTTTTAACCCGCTAAAATCCGTTTTTACGCGCTATTCGAATGAATAGCGGATTTTCCCGCTTAAGCCAACCGCGAAATCCCTACGCGTAGCGCTGAAGGGCCGCGACCGCTATTCGCGCCGCTATAGCCCCGCTATTGGCCGCTATTTACAACACTGCATTTATGTTTCCTTTTATTTCTCAATCCAACATTTTAACTAAGAAATAGTTACATATTGACATATGTTCTTCAGTTCTTGTCCATTTTTTAGATTCCAACGAGAAAAATTATTGATGGGTGTTTAGTTTGTTGTGTAATTGTGAAATTATAATCTATATCTATATAATTATAATTGTCCAAGTACAACATGCAACAATATTACAACAAAAGTATTACCATGATATATATGAGCAATAATATTATAACAATAAGCCAATGCATTACCTGGCTTACAAAAGTTCAAAAAAAACCGCATCTATGATCATAAACAAAACCATTAGTTTTCTAGTAGAGTTTGGTTCTTCAGCCTTTTGGACAGACATCCGCATAAAGCAATTTCTGTCAACAATAAAAAAACATTTGAATTTTTTTTACTTTATCCAAAAACCAACTTTTTCTCTCTTTCCTTCCAGATGTCTACTCAAGTGCAAAAGTCTATACAGACATTTGAAGAATGTAGACTACATTATAAGATGACCAGTTACATTAAGGGTCGTAAACTAGGGGTTTTTATTTGTTAAACTTTACAGATGAGGGGGTTTCTTGAATAAACAGTGCGCACACACGATGGTTTTTGCAGTTCACCAATAACAAATCGAATTCAACTTAATGGACGCTGAAAAAGCAACCTTTTCGAACACGAGAGAGGAAAATTTTGCACAAATCCATACATACTTCTAGAAATTCATCTAAATAATCTTACAAATTTTCAAAGTAATAGAATAAATAGAGTAATTAAAGAGGAAAGTATAAAAAAAATTCTCACCGAACCAACGACGATCGGGCTCAATTCTAGTATTGGGGAGCTCCTTGGACTGCAAATCGTGCTTCAAAATCTTCCCCTTTCGATCTCGTTTAGGTCGAGTATTGTACATCTTGAGACGGCGAACCGTGGCGGCGGATCGAGCGCCTTTGTCAACGCCGGCGCCATTACTGCGGTTGACATCGAGAGAGTGCTTCGGCTTTCCGGAGATGTTGACTTTCCTCTCCTTTTTGTTCGCCATGGCCGTCAAACCCTAGAAACCTAGGGTTTTAGAAAAACTAGGGCGGTGGAAGAGGGACAGAGAGAGAGATGGGCAGTGTTTGATTGTATAATATCGAAATGGTGGGATCCGATATAACTGATAACCCGGAACCCGATAAAGGATCACCCAATAAGCCGCTATCTTTTCATTTTTATTTTGGCTGAAACTAATATAGTGCGATATAGTGTGGGTGCAGCGTAATTATTTTGTTTAATGTTTTTTCTTTTTTTATACATAGCATATTTATAATACTATTAGGGGCTGTTTGGTTCGCTATTATAAGGGGTGGAAAACTCAGAAAACCCCTCCACGTCAGATTTTTAGCCCTCCACGTCAGCTTTTTTGTTTCCGTCCATTTCTTTGTGCCGCTTTGGTTCGCTCGAATGGAAGAGGGAAAACTCTGCTGAAATCGCCGCCAACTAAGATTTTTTTTCCTCTCCGATTTCCTTCCCCAGCCAAGTAAAATTGATGAAAACTCTGACACGTCAGATTTTTTTCCTTCTCTGCTTTGTTTACAAAAGTTTTCCTTTTTTTCTATGCGAACCAAACACAAGAAAAATAAATACATTGATTTCCCATCATTTTTTATGTGCGAACCAAAGCAAAACAATCTATTTCTTGGAAAAGTTTGGAAAACTCAAAACTTGTGTTTCTTTACATGGAATTGCATTTCTCTATATCAAGGAAACGAACCAAACATCCCCTTAGTAACTATATTTTAATTTAATAATTAGTTTATTATACTATTAGTAAATGATTTACTAAATTATTTAATTATTAAATTATAGTATAATTTATTAATTTAAAAACAATATTAAGATCATTATACTATTCATACTATTACAATTACAATAAATATAAATAATTTTCTGTACTATTATCATATCTTTAAAAGGCTAGTAAGATGAAAGGTAACACGTAGTCCTTCATAAGAGGTGAAATCTTAAGGCACAAAACATAAGGCTAATGAATTTTTCTTATTTTTAATGTTTCTAGAATTTTATATATTATGTGACGATAAATTAGGGATAAATTTTAAATTTTCTATGAAATAACATATGTAAATAAGGAATTAATAGTGTGAGCAAATGTTTAAAAAAAGTGAGGAAATGTATAATTAATAAGAGGTGATATATAATTAGTGAATGATTAATTACAAGCAATGACATATTTGAGAATTATCAAACCTAAAAGGGTAAAAATTAAAATTAAAATTTTTGACAAGAGAACCCTCTTTTATATGTAGTATAGATTTTTCTAGAATTTTATATATTATGTGAAGATAAATTAGGGATAAGTTTTAAATTTTCTATGAAATAACATACATAAATAATAAATTAATAGTGTGAGAAAATGTTTAAAAAAAAGTAAGGAAATGTATAATTAATAAAAGGTGATATATAATTAGTGAATGATTAATTACAAGCAATGGCATATTTGAGAGTTATCAAACCTAAAAGGGTAAAAATGAAAATCAAAAGTTTTGACAAGAGAATTCTTTTTTATATGTAGTATAGATAGATATAGATTAAGGCCACGCTTGTTTTTTTATCACTAGATTAGAGGGTATTGTATTCCATCTATATCTATACTACTTCTAAAAGAGAAAACAAGTGTCAAAACTTTTGCATACCTCTTGTCAAAAAAGAATTCTCACAGACTAACCTTAGGAGTAACTGAAACTAGTCCAAATTAATGTTTTTAAAGTTGTTGGTGTTATTTGATTTTTTTTAATGTTTCTAGTATTGTATTATATTGAGACTATTTTAGTTCAGTTTAATATTTATTTTCACACAGACTAACCTTAGGAGTAACTGAAACTAGTCCAAATAAGTGTTTATTTTCAAGGGGCGTATGACTGTTTGGACTAATATCACACACAAAATGACCTTTTCACCCTTAGTCAACTAATATTGTTTTAACATCTGTTGCGAGAATTTTTTTAATGTTGGGCATGACCTTGTCTAAAAAATAAACATACTCAAAAAATCATATTTTTTTAACAAAACATACTTGTCTAAAACACCTTGTCAGTACTACTTATTCATCTATCTATATCTACCTATCTATCTATATCTATCTATCTATCCATCTATATCTTTTTATTTATATCTATGTCTATCTATCTACCTATACTAAAAAAAGAGAATATGAGTGTCAATACTTTTAAATACCCATTTTACCTCTCTCAATTCTTAATACATATTCCTAATTTAGATAATTAATTTCCGATTTAATTTTTGGTAGTTGTTTATTAAAAATAACATTAAAAATAATTAAAGGATTCTGTCTGACTTCTTCTAGTGTATCTTGATAGACTCTCGATATTTCTCTCCTTAGGGCATGTTTGTTTGCACGGAAGTAATTGTGAAGTAGCTAAAGTAAAAGAAGTAAAAGCTACTTCAGCTACTTCCAAGCAAAAAAATGTGTTTGGTTCTCTAAAAAACTTACTTTCAATACTTCCCTAAATGCTTATGTGGCGCTTACGTGTCATCCTTACTTCCAAAATATTTTTCCACTCCTCGATACTCAGAAGTAGCTCGGAAGTAGTTGAAATGCATATTAATTAGGACAAAAATAATTTTTTTATTAATATTTTCTTCATTAGTTACTTCTAACATCTTTTCATTGATAAAATTACTTCCTAGTAATATTTCCAAATGTTATCCAAACAAAAAAAGTAAATAAAGAGGAAAAAGTTCTACTTCTATTACTTCTAAAAACATATGAAACAAAAAAAATGTTATTTCCACTACTTCATAGCTTTAAAAGTTACTTCTATAACCTACTTCTTACTTCTAATACTTCCATTATCCAAACGGACCCTTAGTCTCCTACGCATAAACAACTGATCGAATCTACTCTTGCATCTCTCTGTAAAAATATAAAAAATGGCGCATCCTAAAAAGCTTCTTTACCATGAGGCATAAATTATGTACTAGATGATTTATCTTCAAGTTAAGGTGGGGATTCGAATAATGACTAAGCTTCTATTCTAAAAATTAATATGAGTTGAGAATGGCCTAGACATAGCCCAAATTGTCCAGGTTTGATGTGGATTCAATAAAATCTTAATGTACCTAGCAACTTAAGCTAGGTGTTTTGTAAGGTGTGATATAAGTAATAGAATTCCAAGAATTAAATCTGGTTATTATTTTACGTTTTAACTTATAAATGAGACAGTTTAACTAAGTTCAGTGACAGAATTTGAAGAGTGTGCATGTGAATTGACTTCATCAAACCATAATGCTCTCCTTGCTGATAACGTGGCCTAAAAATTTGACATCGGATAGCTAAAACTCGCACTTGTTGAACTTAGCATACAACTGATACTCCCACAAAATCTGCAATGCCAATCGTAGATGCTACTCGTGATTTTCCTCCAATCTCGAATAGATAAGGATATCATCGATGAATACGATCATGAACTGGTCCAAATATTGATGGAAACCCACTTCATCAAATCCATGGATACCGCTGATACGAGTCGCTGTGCGAGCACCTTTGATCGCGGAATTATCAAAGATGGGTTGAGAAAAAAATAACAAGAACACAAGAACAATTCAGTGATGGTGAAGGAAAATACCTTCTCTAGATTATGAGAATAAAATAGTTTACAATCTCTCACAATCTCACTAGAATTGAAGAACAATCTCTCTCAATTCTCAAATACAATCTAATCTCTCTTGATTGTTTTCTCCTTTTTTTTTAAATCCTAAAACAATCCCTTATATAGGTGTAACAACATGGATGGTAAAGTGGTAAATAACCAAGCTCAAACCCCATAGGAATTCGTACAAACAAAAACCCAAACGAACCAGGAAACTGTCGATGAGTCGACTCGTGCCAAGTGAGTCGACTCATGCCAAGTGAGTCGACTCATGATGAGGTGAGTCGACTTGTCAGAAACTTTCGACAAAACGGTTGGATTTCATGAGTCGATTCATGACAGGCATGAGTCGACTCAACCTGATAAGTCGACTCATGTACATATATGAGTCGACTCACGGGCTGGAAACTGGATGCTTCGATTCTTCGATTTGCCGTCTCGTTCCACGCTTCAACCTGCATTCCACTGTATTGTTTTACACCTCTATTCTCAAGTTACCATGAGAATCATCTATCCTCAAGCTCCCATGAGGATCGCTAAGTGATAATCATACTTTATTACAATTTTATACCCTCATTATCTATTTTTAATAAATAAATATATCACTAATAATTGTTTTTATCTTTAATTGTAGGTTAATGAAGAATAAAGCCCAAAAATCTCATCTCTCTACAAAAGCTCATGAATTAAATGAAGAACACAAGCAAGAGCCAAAAATCTTAAGCCCAGAATCAAGTCGAGTAGCTTGTAGAAGCCGGAGAAAATAAAAAAATTAAATATGAAAACAAAATATATTCAAGATGGTTGGCCGTAAAGAAACGATGATATCTCTCAATCCGGAAAGTGGAATTTAACATATAATATATAAAAATCGCATATCTTGACGAGACGAAGCCATCTGTGAAGGCAGATTTTTATTGGACATCGATGCTAGCATCGATGCTGGCATCGATACGTCCGTCATTCTGTTACATGTCTAAGGCTGAAATTTGTTATTTTTGGATAAGATTTTAATCCAAGGGCTCTCATTCACTGATGTTTACTATAAATAATGGTAGAGAGTGAGAGGTTAGGGGTGTGAAATTTTTTATAACTCCATTTGGAGAGGAGGGCCACTCTTAATTGAGAAGACCTTCCAAATTTATAATTTTTGTTACAATTAATAAAATAATTTTTTCACCACTTTAAATATTTCTTCTCGTTGTTGGATGATGAAGATGGAGATGAAGAATTATTTGGAGGTTTGCATTTCTTTTTTTCTTTTATTTTTTTATTGCTTATTAGTTTAGATTTATTTCTATACTTGTAGTTAGATTTTATTTTTTTGTTAAATAGCCAAGAGGCTAGAACCCTCTTGCCTTAGATTTATTTCTTAGATTTTATTTTTTTGTTAAATAGCCAAGAGGCTAGAACCCTCTTGCCTTAGATTTATTTCATACTTATA